ATTTTTTCAAGAAGCTTTTCTAATTTGGAATGTTCCTTGCAAAGGATGACAGTTGAAGATAGGGAGAGTTTTGTTACCGAATCTACCTAACAGTGAAGTTAGTAACACCTGCAGGCCGTGCCATAGCTCAGGCGCTTAGTTGCTGACTTCCCACCACGGCGACCAGGTTCGAGCCCGGGTCAGGTCATGTGGGATTTGTGGTGGACAAAGTGGTACCGAGACAGGTTTTCTCCGAGTACTTCGGTTTTCCCTGCCAAGCTTCATTCCATCAATTGCTTCAAAGTCACCATTATCTATAATCTGGGGCTGCTACAGTAGGCCAATAATGGCAGCACTACCAAGTGGACTCAGTCTCACCCAACTAAGAACCATAAAAAAATAGAAAATTATAATAGTAACACCTGACTTGGCCACCGCCGCTTGTCGGTGAGGTTAGTGACAAATTTAGTGGATAGAGGGTGTCGCATTGTCAGCGCAACGAATTCCCACGGCCATTAATCTCGGTTTTCTAGACCGGAGCCGCTATTTCCTGGAAATAGCTCCTCAATAATTCTCATGAGGCTGAGTGGACCCCATTTCAGACTCACTACTCTTCAGAAAATGTGGTAGCGTCGGGAATCAAACCCTTTCCCTCTGGATCTGTAGGCAGGAACTCTGACCACTTTACCACAGTTCACTAGCGGACTCAAGCCACGGAGTATTTGTTTCTTAGTTTGTAATAGTAACACCTGCAACCACCGAGTGCTGGGGACTATCTGCACTTGATGCGACCACGACCTCATGCAGCATAGTTACAGTTCTGTTGTATGCAGAAAGAAAATATATATACGCGTAAGGCTTTTCTTTGTACGGTTCCTTTTCCAAATCTCTGCCAGAGAGTCAAGTATGCTAACTGAGGATCTTCGTAATTTCATCTGCCCTAGACCCGAACTCTGCCCTCAAACTACTACTGCCGTCTAACCGAAATTCGTACCGATAATCTCCTGAACACAAATTCAGGACATGACATGAGAAAATACTATACACGGTACGTTCAACTGGGTAAGCAATTAAATATCAAATAATATAAATCGAAGGTTCAGCAGCAACATTTTATACGATCCTGAGTTCAATGAAGTTCACCTTCAGCCACCCCAATTCCCCAACATCCATTTTAATATGCCACTTATATTGCCACGGCTTTCTCGATACAAAGAACTGCTTACTTGGGGATATCCCTTCCACATTCTATAAGCATTCATTTTTACCTCCCTACCTACGTGTTCGGAGCACCGTAAGTTTCATCATTTTACTGCATGAGTCATTAATCAGAAAGCTCTTTGTCTTGCAACATATTTCTTTCCCCGTTTCTTCGTCTCCCTCAAAAATTTTAGCAGTTTTGAGATATAGAAGTGTCACGTGCTTAAAGCTTCATAAAACCCAGGCTCCTTAGTTATATCGACATATTTTCGATATTAAAATATACTGGTTGAAGAATGAGTTTATTTGTAAACAATAAAAAGTTGATGCACCATAATCTATACTCTTCCCTTATATTGAGGGAATGTAATGATAGTGGATTTGCATAGTTTACTCCGAACTCGTATTGATGTTGGTAGTAGAACTAGACATTTTAATGCGAGGCAATGAGCAAACAACTTAAACTTAGCCACATAGTATATTTCTTTATTCAGTCGCTTGTATTCCACAAAGTCTTCCAAAGAACTAAGCCGAACTGGATTTAATCTTACATGTTCCTCTTTACAGAACAAAATCCCTTTCATTCCTTTGTCCGTAGAATCTCCTAGGACAAGTTTCTGTTCAAGTTTTGTTACAATGAGTTCTAAACCTCTTAATTGCAATAGTCATATTTCAGAAAGGTGGAGATTTATGAACAGTACGACATAATTAAATAAAATTAAATCAAATCAAAGAACTACAAGTAATGAAAAAGAACAGGAGACAAGAATTAAAATATAACATTTATTTATAAATAGAACAATCCAATAGCGCATTCGGAACATTTTGCAGATATTCCAAGGTGATCATGTACTGGGCACGGCCTGAAGTTTGTTCATGTTGCAATAACTCTTACGCATGGAATGGAACCAAAATGTCTCTGATGACAACAAAATACTGTATATAATTTAGTTCTTTACTTTGTGCAATTCTGTCTTGTGCATAGAAATTTAGCACAATTTGTTCTCACAATGTTACGTTATGGAATATATTCAGTTACTAAATCAAGGTGTTGTGGGCCATTCCATTTCTTTCAGGTAAAAGCAAGTTTCTACATATATCTAATTACTGCACATAAGGCGACCAAAATATTTACGAGAATCGGAATTTTCAAGAACAATCTCATCATTCTAACAGCAAGTTTCGTGCCATTTCCCCTGCAGTTACACATGGCATTAACAACAATTTGGTATTGGAAACCTGACTATACTTTTCAAGAAGTTTCTAAATATAGCGCATAATTATCAGTGGTAACATTTTCTCGCGGGGAAGGAAAGAGAGAACCGGATAAAGTAGAAATAAACTTAAAATAATTTGATGCGAGACGGCCATGGCAGGAATATCCGTACATTCATTACTAAGTGAGTGAAATTGTAAAGGCTACATTTAGCTCAGAGACATTTGTATTTATGTAGATCCCATTGGAATATCGTGTCTTATGGGATCCCACCACCCACCTCAGTCACACTTAAACTAAGCAAAATTTAACATGCAGCAGAAATAATACAGAATCTTTTAAACAGAAGTAACAGCTTGTAACATAAAATAAATGTACAGACTTAACAGAAATTGATGGTCAGCCAGCAAGTCCTGAAATATTTTCTTTAAGAATGCAGAGCGCTTGCAGACAGTGCTATCCCTGTTCGAGGCGGAACAAACATGAGAGGCTATACATGCAATAATTTGGCAGTACTTTTGTTAACCATTTACCACTAATTGAGAAGCTAATTTTTTTTTTAATTTTTCTTTGGAAAATAGCAACCACTGTAATGCTCAATTAATAACAGACTCTTAATATTGTACTTGAAAATATAAGAAATTTGTTTAGGTTAATTTCCAATTACTGCGTACTTGTCATGACCAATAAATTCGAGGTTAATTCAGTGTTAAGTTAAGCATTTACACTCGTAAAAAGTGAACTTCAAGTTTTCTCTGTGCTTAAGCAAGGTTTAAGTAACAATTAATATAATTACAATCGAAAATTCAGGGCAATGAAATATTACAATTTTAATTTTGAACCTAAAAATTAATTACATAATGATTCTTCATTGATTAATAAAAGAGAGAATGTAGCAATGCCATAATGAACGATTTTATTGAATAGATAAATTTACAGACCATTCATCGCAGCCCTTCACTGGCAAGGATATTCGTTGTCTTTTGGATTTAAATAATGTAGGCGACACTTTAGCAATAACAGTATTTTGTTGGGTTTGAGGTCCTCACGGCGATAATTATGAAGAGTCCAATTTCTGGATTGTAACCCGTGTAGTCCAGCAGAGGCCCACCTACCTATGTTCCTACGAAACTACAGTGGTCTACTCTCCGACTAAAAGGTGTTAAAGCCCTGAAGATAATATTCTTCAACAATAATATTTTTTACTCGAATTAATGCAAAACAGAGAGTTAATAGTAATTTCCCTAATGACATTCAGAGGAATTTTACAAGAATGTAAATTTAAAAATAGAAAGCTTAGGAAATAAGTTCATTTTACTACGTGTGATTTAGAAAAGCACCTATGATCTGTTTCAAGGTTCTTCACCTTTAATATGAAGGTTTAGGAGCACCTTATAAATATTTTTCCAACCTATTTCGTTATCCTCATATTTCCAAATAAATCGTCCTGCTTTGAAATAGTACTTTGGGCCTAATTTCAGTTAAACGTCTGGTTACAAAGGTAAACAACAAGGTAAAGCTGTCCCTGTAACAGGCCGTTAAGACGAATAGGGGTGTGAGAGGTCGAGACTCCCAATTCTTCTAGACAATAGGCTGACAGATGGCGGTAAGTTTTGTCAGCCCTACAAGCCAGCCGCCCCTTACTCCCCAGGAATCTTCCTGGTAATCATTTCTGATAGAAGCTGAGTCGACCCTGGTGCCATAATGCGGCTGGAAGGATTAGATCAACTGCAAACATTCAATGATATTTTCGGGAATCGAACCCGCGACCTTCCGGCTTGTAGCATAGTGCATCAACCAACTACTCTACCGCTTGTATCGGTTGAACGTCTGTAACAATATTTTTTTTTTGTAATTCTCCTTCCCAAAACGGGGTCCCGAAACGTAATTTCGGTGTTTTCCACCACAAACAAATAATGACCACTAAGAGGTTAACCTCTCTCGTAAATGAACTTCAAGCTGGTCTCTAACTTTCCAGTAACATAGAACTCGTGTATAAGTGTACGGAATTTCGCACACACTTTCCAAAGGTGTATGTTAAATTAGTATTTTGGTTACGGTCATTTAAACAGATCTGTTGCCATTAACATTCTCAGCACCAGCGAGAGACCTTCTAATGTGAAATTTATTTGCAAAGTAGATAACATAGAGATGAACAGGGATAGCAGTCTATCTGCGGACAGCAATAGTATTAGTTCGTTGCTTTGTTGCATAAACACTCCTTCCATCTTTCCTCTACGTCTCACTTAACAAGGCGGGTTATACAATTTCGAAACACTACGCAAAACTGAGTTCGTCGGCAGTTCATCTCACAAAAGCTGTATCAGCTGTGGAGAGAAATATCACTGCAAATACGATAACTTGATAAATGCGACATCGCTTGAAAGCAAGTGATACACAGAGGACGGGATATTTCGACCGTCACTTTGGGGCGCTACACAGAATTTGAGCATTTTCAGTTAGCTGATTATTGTCTTTCCTTGCTGAGCTACCATTGATTAGCTGCTCATCAAATGAAGGTCTCCTGCCGCTTATGATAGAACCGCTCCATGAGGTACACAGTGTCGATATGGTCCATGATCCTGCGTCCTACAAGGTACTTTACCTCTTCCTGGCCCTCCTTGCCGGCAATGTGTAGTGCCGTGTACATGTCCTTTGTGGTGGAGTCTACGGCAGCGCCATGTTGGAGCAACAGCATCACGATGTCCACGTTGCCCAATCTGGAGGCGATGTGTAGCGGTGTCTGCTGCTCCTGGAACATAGACTGTTTCAGTAAGTTGCTCTGAGAAAAGGGACTGATCTAGTCAGTACAACACACTGCTGAACCATGGAATGGACGGCAGTATCTCTCGTCCCGTGGGAATAAACAGATCATCTCCATCTAGTGTAATGTTAGGATTAAACCTTGCCTGCATGCCACTAAGTGCTTTGAGATCTTTACCAACATAAGCAGTAGTAGAAAATGCATTCCGTCTAATCATATTGGTGTTTCTTTCGGTTCCAACCAGATCACATTTCATCAAACACCACATCATTAAATATTATACAGACAGTGGAAATAAAGGTGCGTAAATCATAAGACTGCTGCGCTAGTTAGGGACGAGTTGAACTTAAAGCTTTGACATTTCACCCCTGGAGAAAATGCCGCATATAACTGCGAGTATAAGCAGTCGATTCATTTATTGGTTCGGTTATTCCGAATCCTAGCAGCTCCAGTAACAGAACTAAAGTTTGATTTGTGTAATTCAATAGTTTATTCCTAAGCTAATTGGATCGATTCCTGTAATTAAATATTCCCTGATAGGATCACGGATGAGAACCAACTCTACTTTGCACTCTATAGAATAGACTAAAAGTAAAGAAAAGTAAAGTAAAAGTATCCCTGTAACAGGCCGTGGAGACCCATAGGTTGTGAAATGTTGAGGTTCCCACATTTTCTAGACAGTCGGCTCATATATGGCAGCAAGGTTGTCAGCCCTACGCGCCGGTCGCCCTTTATCCCCCAGAATATTCCAAGAATATAGGTCTGAGGTTCTCCCGGCGGTGACTATGAAAAAAGTAGTCTTCTGGAATGTCGCGCCTGTAGTTATTTTGTTGTTCCTCCTAAACGTCGGTTAACACAATATCTACACGGACCCACATCCAAGAAGACTGCTTTCTTCAAAATAATAGGCCGGCCAAGAATTTCAATTATGAAGAGTAGCAATATTCTTATTATGTATTTCAGATTTTCACAGCGGTGAGTATGAAGAGCTCTATCTTCTCTGCTCGCTGGCTGCTTCAAACTTATTTATTGTCTGGCTTACTCTTGGCAACTGGAAATGAAGGCGGTATGTTACTCTGAAAGTTCCATTGGCTTCTACCGGACTACGAGTACACGGCGTTGTGTACCAGAAGACAGAACGCTTCAGTAGTTATATTCTTTGAAAGTTGGTAGAAATAACAGTCCCTCAATTCTCCTCATCACATAGATCCCCACAATCTTCATTTCATCTTATATGATACGAAAGTTTAAACAAATTCATAATTATATATATACTACACTTATAGTTTAAGATATAATTGAAAACCCCTAAAAAATTTGAAGTCCCTGTTTTCGTTCCAATTTCGGATGTTTTCGTGGCTGTGATGGCGGCATTGCTAACCACTAAAAGGTATAAATGTAGCGCAGCCACCAATTTCATATCCTTCATAAACATTTTATGAAAAACCTACCATTACAATGTTACTTAATGTGGGGCACAATAGAAGGGTTTCATTATATTTCCTTGTTGCTGTAAGCTCTTCAAATTTGCAGGCACCCCGAGATCAGCAAAAATTTTGCAAGTGCGTTCTCGGCCTCGTAATTTGAAGACTCTTTGTACACTCCTCACACATACATACATAAGGACACGGGCGCGGACATGCTAAGTTTATCTTTCTTGTGAAACAAGGGAAATATATGTAATGATATATCTGTAACATAGTGGGATTTCTCTTGCCTCATCATTTAAATAAGAATATAGATAGATAGTATTAACTCTTTGTTGCAGCATTCTAATCCGCTAAGATTTAAAAAGTGAACCTTAAAATAACATTCATCAACCTACTGCGGAATCGACCAGGTTTATGTAAATATTTTGGAATAAATTATCACTATCAGCATAAGTTTTCTGAGGTGCACAGTTGTCGTGCAACGGCACCTTGTTCAACTAAGCAGACACAGAGAAAACGATATTTGCTAGATATAGCGTGCAAATACTTGCTTATATCCGCTTTATGGACGCTGAAAGTGGGGATGTCGTGCAAAGTGTAGTTCAGTTTAATAACATGTTAGTCATTATGTAAGATTTGGGGTTTTCACGGCGGTGATTATGGAATGTCGGTTTACACAATATCTACACGGCGCCACAACCAAGAATACGGCTTTCCTCACGTTATTTATTGTGATTATGAATATGAGGACTGAGCCATAAAACTGGCCCTAGCACTGCGAACTTCAATGGTCTATTGTGTTTCCCTTTTAGATTAACCCTTTATTAATCCTACACTTTGAATGAAACGTAGGACTTTGTTTATGGGGGCGTCATAAAAGTCACTTGGTTCCATGAAGAACTGACCCAGGTGATGAAATCTTAGGTAAGCTATGGCCTCACAATCACATAGGATGTGTGTGGCTCATTCGTCTTCTTGTAGGCACCTTTCACAAGTTGGGTCACCTGTCAGTCTCAGTTTGAAAAGGTGCCTTTTCAAGATGCAGTGTCAAGTAAGTGGTCCTACCACCCATCTCAGTTGATCTCTGTTTAATTTTAACAGATCCCTCGTTCTTATGGCAGAGGGTCCTGATACAAATCCTTTTGCCTGTTTGGGTTCAATTGTGGATTCCCAGTGTTTTTTGTGATTTCTGTTAGTCCAGTCCCTGATCGCTTTCTTGGCAACTCCAATTGAGATGCCGCAAGGTGGTTCAGGTCCTGTGAACGGCTGTTCAGATCCTGTTCTAGCCAGTTGATCTGCGGTTTCATTCCCTGCGATACCCTCATGACCTGGCATCCATATCAGTTGTACGTTAGTCATTAAGTTAAACCGGATGGTAATCTCTATAAATTAGTGAAATTTAATTTAAAACCGGTAAAGCGGTTTTCGGGGAAATAAGTCATTTAGACCGTACCTATTTACTCAAACCTCCACGTAACCTTACTGTATCTGATAACCTGTAGATAACATAATCACTCGACACTTATGTACGTAAGATACAAAAGCTTAAGAATGCGAAATTGTTAGTATTTCTGCTTGTTATTTTGATTGTTTCGGAATAGAACTTTGGCCACAGCACCGTCTCTCCTGATTGCAAATGCTCATTGTAGCAGATGCTAGCATAGCGCTTACAAATAGACAACGTTTCAATTCCTTCACGGTCTCTCCAAATTACTGTTCACAATCATGTTCAATTTCGATGCTAATGAATTTATATAATCAGAGCAGGAGTAAATACATAAACTAAGAAAGAAGTACACCTCACTATGAATAAAGAAAATAAACCGTTCAGACATTGGAGAAGTGGAATAGCAATGAGGCAGACAAACACAGACAACGAAGGAAAAGGGCAAGAATATTGTGCCTATGCTTAACTAAACATCATGCCCAGAAAATGTTAGAGGAAGTAGAGGTAGAGCTTCACACATTCTTAACCTCGAACTTGATTGAGCTTCACGTGCCGGCCGCTTTTCTCTCGGAAACGGAGCCCTCTTTCCATTGGATAGGAGTCTGGGTGAGGCCCAGAGCCTGTCTGGACGATGGGAGGAAGAGAAGAATCTCTTACCTCTGCCGGAAATTGAACCACGACTTCTCTGTCGTCTTGCCCGTAGTCTAATCCCTGTGACGACTGAGCCACCCGGCTTCCAACTGTCCATTAAGGTGATTAAAATTGCGTTTTATTTTTCAAGGAGGATAGTATATTTTCTGCAAATTATATTTTTTTTCGTGGGTGACTTAAGGCTTTTTTTAGTATCGAGACTACATGGTGTCGCAACGTGGGATCACAGATGGACTGGAATGGGATATATACGAGGGGGTACCCAAAAGAAACCGAACTTATTTTTTTTAAACTTATTTATTCAAATTTTAAGCACAAACCTTCAATCCCCTTCAAAGTACTCTCCACTTACACTAATACACTTGTCTAGTCTTTTATTCCATTTTTCAAAACATTGTCTAAATTCATCTTTTGAGATGCTTTTTTTTTCCTTCACCTCAGCAACATCAGCAAAACGCTGAAAAAAAGTTTTGATCATTTCGGGACTCTTCTTTCAAAGCACAGCATGCTTCCACGCGACCTTGTTTTTGTTCAGCAGTCAGCAGTCGTGGCACGAATTTCGCAGCCACCCTTTTCATTCCCAAATATTCTGTCAAAATTCGCTGAACTGAGCTCCAAGTCACTCCCGACAGCTCCACAATTTCTTCAATGGTCCGTCGTCGATCTTCCTTGATGATTTCACGAATTTTTTCAACATTTTCATGTGTTCGGGCCATTGCAAAAACGACGATCATACAGAACAGTTGTCACTATAAACTCTGCCGAAACTAGTCCTTACCTTCTGAAGCAACGGTAGTCGGCTTATCGACCCAGGAATGTTAGCTCTATGCGCTCATAGCGGCAAAACGCGGTACTACAAAAGCTCTGCCCACAAAAAAAATTAGTTCGGTTTCTTTTGGGTACCCCATCGTATATATATATATATTAGCAGTGCATCAAGTAACGGTGGCCTATAAAGGCCGAAAAGTGTAAAACAAAATTTGTATTTATATTAAATCAATTACACTTGATATAATTTTGCTATTGTTTTGTGAATTTTCAAGTATTTAGGAGGCAGTATCAATGACCTAATCGGGATATTATCCCAACATTTGTTTGCAGGGACTGAGGAAATCCATAAACACCCTCAGTCAGGACAGTCGGTGTACCGGTCGAGATTCAAACCGAGTACCTTTCTAATAGAATTCTAGAGCTTTACCTTGAGATCCTTTAGTTTTTTTACTGCAATATCTATTTGTTATAATATGTACAATATTAAATTGTGAGCTTTTCCGGATCGAGAGACATTTCCTGAGTTTAGATAGAAATTTGTACTCAAATTGGCAAATAGTCCGAAAAATGTACGTACACGCACCTGACAGAAAGCACGTAAATATTTAAATTATAAATGATTATATTTCAACACTTCGACATCGTTTAATACAATTTGATTTTTTCAATTGTTTAAAATTGTTTTCTATTTTTATATATGACTGATATTAAAAGTAATCCACGTTTAAACTCACGAGTCATAAGCTACTTGTGTCAATAGACGTAAAAAAGGTAAATTTGTTCTTGTGCTTAACTAACTCAGCACTACGCCATGAAGACGTATCGGGGAGTGGATATATAGATCCATATTTTCTTGACCTCGGCACTAGTTTAAAGTGAGTGGTCACTTTCAAGCTCCGGTCGCTTTATCCTCGAGGAAAGATCCAGGGTACCCATCGTATAAGAGGTTGGGTGGACCTCAGAGTATGTCTGTACGACATGAAGAAGTTATTCTTGCCGAACAGAAACTCCAACTCCAACTCCTCCGACCGACTGAGCTATCCAGGCTTTAAAGACGCAACAAATCAAAATTGAATTTTCTAATGGAAAATATAATGTATATATTCAATGCCAAAATAAGTCCGAACCTATCAAGTTGATTTGCCATTGAAACGCGAGAGTACAAACAGATAAATACTCCCTCCATTCTACACACTGCCTACGTAAATCATAGGAATGGATTACTGTCTCTGTACAACGGTCCATTTCATAAACAAGTCGACTCACCCTTGCCCTGGCGTCGACCTGCGCACCGTTGCGCAGGAGGATGCGGATGATATCCGTCTGGTTGGCCCTTGCTGCCAAGTGAAGCGGCGTTTCACCCCTCACGGTGGGCACATCGGGGCTCGCGTCATGCTGCAGCAGGTAGATGACGATATTCATGCAGCCCATGAAGCTGGCCACATGTAGAGGGGTCAGGCCCGACTGAAACATTACCACAGTTACTGCTTGCAACATGGAGAAGTCATGTCTTATGTTCTAAATTACTTTTGTTCACCTGTTTATAAAATATAGTAATACCATGAATAGCGATAGCGTTATAATTGAGTGCAATTAAGATAGAATGTAACCGACGTGCTAATAAATCAAACCATCCGAGCTAGAACCTCTTATTTTCGTCACGCGTGCCCCATACACGTGACAGTATATTATCCGAACTACAACTTCATCTAGCAACCCCCCTCTTCCTTTCCATTGACTCTTTCGTACCTTAATCATTTTCCCGCAATTCTCTAACAATATTTCTCCATCCTTTTCATCTGTTCAAATTATCAGAATTCGTATCATCTCCGCTTCTTCCATCTTTTCCTTCCTTCCTTCCCTCCCTCCTTCCTTCCTTCCTTCCCTCCCTCCTTCCTTCCTTCCTTCCTTCCTTCCTTCCTTCCACTTCTACTTGTTAAGATACTTCAAGTAAATTTCTTATACCGTATAAGCCCAAATATAAGAAAACGCCATGTATTTCCAATGAAAACATCATAAATAATTGAAGAAAGTCGTCTTCTGGGATGTGGCGCCGTGTAGAAATTGTGTTAACCGACATTTCGGAGGAACGCATCGCCTCCATCTTCAGGGTAGAAGACAAGAAGAAATCCGCGAGCGAACCAGCAGAGCAGGTGCAACAGATCAATATTTCTTATTGTTTCGATGCATACTATAAATGATATTAGAGCAGCTGGTGTTCCTTGTGGCACTAAATATTCAAATACATGATTTGTATTATTAATCCACCCAAATACTATAAATCTTACACACCTGTTGCACCTGCTCTGCTGGTTCGCTCGCGGATTTCTTCTTGTCTTCTACCCTGAAGATGGAGGCGATACATTCTTCCGAAACGTCGGTTAACACAATTTCTACACGGTGCCACATCCCAGAAGACGGCTTTCTTCATAGTCACCGACGTGAAAATCCCGAGTCTTATATCAGAAATAGTTGTTGGATTGAAGTGATTATGACATTTATTTCTGAGGGTTGTAGGCAGAAAGAAGTAAAAACTGTACTGTTAAGAAGTAACACATTCAGAATTTAATACCTTAAACAGTATTCTATGTATTTTGATAAATATCAATAAAGTTAGCAATTATAGCTCCTCATGATTTTCATACTTATTCTTAAGTACCCTAAAATAAGAAGCAGTATTTGGAACAAGAAACCTCTCCCTATATTGGAGTTAATACGAGAATTGTAGATATTCATGGTCTATTTAGCTCCTGAATCCTGTATTGCGGAGTGCTGTGGTGCCCTCCCAACTCCGTAACAAAATATTCCTTCTGGGACTCACCTCTGTCGTGGCTTCGATTGAGGCACCGTGTTTGAGCAGCAGCTCCACCACCTTGATTCTGTTCTTCTTGCAGGCGATGTGGAGTGGGGTAAAGCCGTTAAGAGCTCTCGCATTTGGGTCAGCTTTGCGATCTAACAGCAGTTTGGCCACACGAACGTGGCCGCAGTGAGCAGCAACGTGCAGTGCAGTGAGGTAGTCCACTGTCACCTCGTCCACGGGGGCTCGGTGATACAGAAGGATACGTGCCGCGTCCACGTGATCGCCCTGGGACGCCATGTGAAGGGGTGCCAACCCGTTCTGTAAGACGCACATGTCCTGAATACCGATGTCCATGTAGAGAGACAAGTAGGCCTTGCAGACGTCACCGCATATTGGAATTCCTGACATATTATTCACTCGTGCTCTGTAGTAGAGGAGTCACCAGTTTTCTTTGGTGAAGGGAATCTAGAAGAACCTTATTTTTCATAGTGGGCATCGTAGATTACGAAAAGCTTCCGCATCTTCTTTTCTCACATCAAGACATTTACCACAACACTGTCTTCACCTATTTGTCTTACCAAAATATCCCCTAAAAGAATAGACAGTCTTCTATTCACAATTATTTAATTTCAATGAGAGATCTAAATGAAATATTAAATATTTAAAATTCCTTAGCACTGAACATACGTTCAGTTCACAGAGTAAACCTCACTATGTGCTTTGAGACTATCAACGGAAGATTAAGAAATTATTTTGTTTTAAAAATCCCAGCTGGCGCCAAAAGTTGCGATCGATAGAGCAATGTCCAGTACAGTATTTCGAAGGCAAGCAATATGAAGAAAACGCGCTATGAGCTACTCCAAATATCGTAGAAATATACTCGTATATAAATATATTTTCCCAGTAAATAAATATGGTCCTCATTATTATTTAGAAATATACGATTTCTAGTGCTATGCTACATCATTCTGGCTTCGATACTGCAGCCGCCAGTTAAAGAACATTGCCCAAGCTAACTTCGACATACAACATCGTTATGCATTTGATCTGAAAACTTTAAAAGAAACGGGGAATGAAATTTAAGAACGTCATTTCCGTTTATCAGAAAGGACATGAATGATGATGTGACAATTAACGAACGGTATGGGTGAACTTGAGAGTGTGGCCCTCCACAAAACTGGTAAAATGCTCTTCATCTATGAATCTAGGCACTAAGGGAGTGCGACTAGCCGAGTTCATACTCCGATTTGCTTAGTCCATATAGTCACTGGAGTCCAGAACCGTTCCTCATTGCGAAATTAAAATATCGTCAATTTTTGAGAATCGAGTCACAGCCATCCACTCTGCTGACCGAACTACAACAGAATTTATGTAATGTTTCTTGGCATGCTTAACAAAGGAAATTACTTGTAAATTTATGACTGCAGTGCCACACAATGAGTGTCAAAGACCCTATGGTCTAAATAATGTGATTTGTGCAAGTGAGCGAAATGGTGGAGGAAGATCCCCCAGATCCTCACCTTGGTCTTGGAGCTAATGGGCGCGCCTCGTTCCAGCATCATGTCCACTACTTGTTCGTGTCCAGATCTGGCGGCGCAGTGGAGGGGGGTGAGGCCGTCCCGTGTCTTGGACTCTATGTTGGCTCCCTTCTCCAGCAGGAGCGACACCATGTTGGTTTTCCCCCACTTTGCAGCAACGTGTAAGGGCGTGATATTATGCTGCGCAAACATTTCTCATTAGTTACCTCTCCAATCCAAAGAGTGAATGGTCGGCCCCGTGGCTCCAGACTAATGAAGGGACAGTTTCTTAATGGCTGCAAATAACTCATCTATGGTACATTACATATGAACTCCACTCGAGTTACAGCTCAGCGCAGTTTATAAAAGGCGTCTTGCGGGGAGAGAGGAAATAGGTCCTCCACTGAATACCTCCGTCCTACATGTTAAAGTTCACGCTTCGTAAAATCTCGGAATAATATCTTAGGGATATGTACCTTTGCAAAGAAATTCCTGGTCTCTGATTTACATACCAGTATTTATGACTGAGCCAAATATTACATATATATTAAAACACATTTCATAAAATCAATATTTCTTGGAAGTTCTGAGGAAACTCCTACAAAGTCTCAAGTTAACAACCCTTCTTAAGGGTTCTGAATATTAAGGCACAACTTCCACTTTCGTTATTATAAGTCCTAATGAGTGACCAGACAAGTCTGTGTTTGGAATTTGGCGACTACTTTCCAGTCTGAGTAAAGCCGAAGGCCGACCGAAGGGATATTTGGAACAGACATTAACTTTTATTAGAGGGTATGGTAAGACACCCGACTCTGTATATAAAGTACATAACAACAAACTACAGACTTACTTTTCCTGCGTCTTCTGGGATACAGGTCTAACCATTAACATTATCGTCTTTGAGAAAATGTTAATCCTGATGTCAGGTTCTGTGATCCTTATGAATGGATACTGGATGCGTAAACCGTGCCATAGCTCAGGCGGTTAGTCGCCCGCTTCCCACTGCGGCGGCCCTGGTTCTATCTCAGGTCAAGTCATATGGGATTTGTGGCGGAAAATTGGTAATGGAGCAGTTTTCACATAGTACTTCGGTTTCCCTTGGCAATTCCCATTCCATCAAATGTTCCACATTCCACACTCCAGTCCTATCCCACCCCACGAAACTAAACAAGAAGAAGCATACTATAAGCATAGCAACACTTACTTTGGCTGAGTAGTTCACGTCTGCGCCCCGGTTAAGAAGAAGGTTGGCTATACTCTCATTGCCGTAGTGCGCTGCTATGTGGAGTGGTGTGAACCCACTCTTTGATGTCACGTCTGGGTTATGGTCATTCTGCAAGAGATGATGCAAGAATGAGACGAATTTTAAAAGGTGTACATAGGTAGAATGTTACTCTGTCTTTCTTAGACAATTTCATAATGAGAACTCTTCATAACTCACATTTGTTTTGTCTTGAAATTAGTATCTAGTAAAGAGGCGAACATTTCAAATTGTGACTATCAAACCTCATCACGAAACCTGCGCTGTAGGTATCATATTGTTTCCTTTCGAGCTATAGTTCTGTCCCAGACTTTGTGACCAGAGTAACTTACATTGGACTAGAATTTCGCTGTTGAATTTGATTGGTAAAAGTTTTCATTAAATATTACTGCAAATAATTATCAGTTTTAATTAAAGGTTCTACTTAATTGTCTGAACACATTATTTTATTCGATTTGCATATAATAGTCCCGATAATCTTCCATTTTAATAAAAGAGCCTCGACTTACAGATGTTGAAATACAGACAGGCATTGGAATATAAAGACCGACAAAATGAACCCATGTGCATTTGGAAACAGGTCTCACTAAGAAGGACGGAACTAATGGTATTGTATATCTCATTTTCATGTAAGGGAAAAAAAGGAAATCAAAAATTAATTTACAATATTCTGCCTCTAAATCACTCGGAACAGAGACCTCTTAGAAGACGGAAATATTATTTACATATATGAATAATAATAAAATGTCTCCTTGAGAAAAGGACAGCAAAATTATGAACTGGATGACATTTGTCCAGATCACGGGTCAGTGTTTCTGTGGCACTTAACGATAATGCAACTTCGGTTCCTTTGCAAACAGGAGATGATGAAATGTCTGGTGAGGCCTGTATACTGACTATTTATTATTATTATTTTTATTAGAGGGGGTGGTTTTCCCCATGCATTTAGACAACTTATTGGTCCATTGTGCGTCCCCTTTTAATTTATACAGTCGCCATACCCTACCGGTACTGGTGCGTGCTATCAGCCCCGTCGGCTGTCGGTACCTGATATTTCCCCCATCTGCCAGAGGCATTGGAAACTACTTGGGAGCGGAAATTATTGCCTAATTTTGCTCAGAGGTCTCCTAGAGACATGAGGATCTTTTACGTGCCGTAAAACTACGACACGGGACCCACGGCTTAAAGTCCCTCCCGGAGGACTTGTTCCTTGAATTTTTCCGCCCTTAAAATTCCACGACTTCCGCCGGGTTTGAACCCCCGTACCTTGAGTCATGAGGTGGGAACGTTACTCCTAGACTACTAACTATATACAAAAACAATACGCTTAGAAGTGCATACTTGTAGCAGGAGCGCTGCAGCTTTACAGTCGTCCTTCTTAGCGGCAATGTGAAGCGCTGGAAGGCGCACTTTGCCGCGAGTGTCGTTTTCGAGAAGCACGGCGACAACCTTGTCGTGGCCCTGCTGCATCGCCACGGCCAGTGGCGTGAATCCGTCCTGCAACAGTGCACACCCGTATCAAAACATACATTTATCTCAGGTTATAATTAAAAGAGCAGACCTTCTCAATGTTTTCACCTGTCTGCAATACATCGAGTCTCCTCGTGATAACAACAAAATTATGCCGTTCTCTTAAGCATTGCTTTTTTGTATAACAAACACTTTATAGCGAGGGAGGAACCAGCGTGAGCAGTGGCTGCAGACGTCGACTCACAGAAGATCTACACGGCGCCACATTCATGAAGACGTCATTCTTCATATTGATATTCTCTACTAATACTTAACGGTTCAAGGTGTCGCTTACAAAATTTTGTATTACATTTACCTAAGTTCTTTGTGATAGCAGTAGGGATCGAACCTACGTCACTTCTAGCAGTGCACTAAACGCTATGCCCATCAAGAAGCACAAAATGAAATTTACCTCAGTGGCGAGACTTTGGTTGGCTCCGTTGGCGAGTAGAAACCTGACCACGTTGTCATGGTTCTCTTGGGCCGCCATATACAGTGGTGTGAAGCCATTTTGTGACTGGACATTGACTGCTGCTCCATTTGCCACCAGCAACTTGACAACTTCTTCTTGTCCGGCTGCAATAAAGAGTAAATTCGAGATACGTTATCTGCTTTAGATAATTCTTTCCCTCTTACTTTTTCAAGCAACTAAGTACACTTCGACAGCAGTCCTTGCATTTATCACAGGCTCGGCCATAATCTGAGGAGAGCAGAAAAGTTTATTCCATATTTCGAATAGAATTACTCATGTTTTGCTAAATCGTTCTTTGTTATTTGCATACCTCATTGGTTTGGTATTGATATGGCCCTTTCAGTGGAACGTTTAAAATGTATTTCCTTCGTAATCAGTAAATGTGTAAACCCTTGTTATTAATATTTTCACGGGCTATCTCTATGAAATTATTTAAATTCCTTTGCATAGTCGATCTCGTTTATTTGCCCCTTGGTTACTATATCCTACCACTTCTACGGTGTAATATTTAAATTCTAATTAAATTGTGCATTTTTACTGAATCAAACTAAATTTCATAATCTTTTCAGTAAAATTTCGATAAAGCATAAACATAATTTCTGAGCTACTTCACGTGTGTATTGGCTTCAAGAATAGAAACAGAACACAACCAATTCGCTTATCATACTAATGTGGCTAGTTGTTGCGAAAATATTGCCACGATTTTAGAATGAATATGAACGAGGGTTGGATTGGTAATCGGATTTATTGAATCCTTCCAGAACGTAACTACGTACAAATAACTACGACAGCTTCACTGACTTACACACTCCAAACATCACTGTAACTACAGCACGTATAAAGTCTTCTCATTTTGCCATGTTATCAGTAATCGTTGCCTAGTACCGGATCACAACAAGTCCTCTGTTTCTGTGTTTATGTTCTTGCTGGCCGGTGACTGTCTTACGACTCATTCCTCCAACTGTAGACTCTAAACTAACTGCCTTCCTTAGAACATTTCGGCATGGATCGCACAGAAAGCACAATTCCTCTGCTGCTGTTTATGAGCCGTTGCCTAACAACGGCCGTTTCTAGTTGTTTGTTTCGTGGTCGTTGCCTAGCAGCGACTCTACGTGCCACAATATTCACACTATCTAGTGTCAGCAATTCTTTTTCTTGTAGAAGCCCTTGAAATTTTCACGTAAATTAAAAGTGAACATTCTCGCAACTGGCAGTCCGAGATTTTATTGATACCCTTGCTTTATATTATTCACCACATTTAATAACGTTTAAAACTGAACTTACGTCTTAGTGACACGCAGATATAGGTAGGGCGATCATACGGCCTGATTAAGCCTGAACAACTATGGCGTTTGAAGAATGCCACCTTCTGGGATGTGGCGCCGTGTAGATCTTGTGTGAACCGACGTTCCACTCTTTGCCCCACCCGGAACCTTCGTCAGACTCTGGATGCAGCTGACTCGCTTCATGGCGCCTGTGTTCTTGCCCTTTTTTCTCCCGCCATTGTTGATTCTTCCAAAGGAAAAGGAATCTATTTCTCTTTTTCTTCCCAATCCGTTGCTTAGCAAATCCAGGGCGAAGAGACTCGACATTTGAGTCTTCGTTGGAAGGCTTGTCCTTGTCTCTCTTTTCCCCATTTACAACTTGCATGGTGAGGCCGTTATGATTTTTGCTCTACCAGATCCAGAAGCTCCGCTATCACTTATCACTTGTTTTTAAATTGAAGGACATGGACTAAGATTTGCAGTAAGAGGAAGTTCACTTGATGAAATTGTAGGTTTGTTACAAGTGGATGCTCTTCTTTCATCAGAAGGTGCCTCTGTATATCAACTGGCTTGAGGCAGGTCCTCTGTCTAGCTGATGTCGGTTGTCTGTTTCTACTGAGGCGGTATAGCAGTAGGATGCCATGGCGTCCAGCTGCCAGAAAATAGTGATGGTCGGGACTGAATTTCAATTATAAATATTTCGGTGTCGAAATTGTACATGTTTGAAAGAAATAGAAATACACATAAGCACATATACACTCACGGACGTCAATGGACTGACCTCAGACTGTCGTGTGATGTTTCATTTCGCCTTTGTCTTCGTGGCAGTAATCCCAGCAGCATTAGTACTTGGCATCTTGGTTTTCAGCGATGCCAGCAGCATTAGTACTTGGAATCTTGGTTGGCAGCGATGCCAGCAGCATTAACACTTGCATCTTGGTTGGCAGCGATAAGTTGGAAGCGCTGCCAGACAAATGCCAGGTGCGATATATGACTACTAAACTAATACATTGAGTTTGCCCGAGATGTTGGCAGGTGCGCCATGGCCTCCTGTTGGCATCCTAGTGCGATACCGCCCTAAGAGTTGGTTCATGAGCACCCTGTTCACAATCTACACCCTCTTCCTCAACATGAACTGCAAAATCATGACTCCTGAACATGTTGCAGTTCAGTCGATAGGCTCAAACTTTTCTGAACCCATTCATTGTCATTCCATCAATACCTGTTCGGAGGTAAGCTTTTCTAAACAACTTCCTAATCTGACGTATTGTGATTATGCAAGGAAAATTATTCAACAAGTAATGCTCAATTTGCTACGAATTATGATTTTTAGATGTTCCATAAAGGCTGAGTCTAAAGGCTGCACTTTATGCGAATTGTGTGGAGGTAGACGGATAAGAGAAATATTGTTTTTTTTCCTTCCAAGTTTACTGACGTCAAAATTTCTCGTACGAGAGTAGTGTTCATCAATTAATAATAAGACAGGATCTTTTGTATTTGGTTTTGAGACTAAAAATAGAATGGCTGAGTCACTATGTATAAATATTAGTTTGGATACATCCCGACATACATGACAGGCATAAATACACCCAGGTGGCCGCTTCCCATCCAAAAGTTCTTTCGAGGAAATATAGCAAGGGGTGTACAGAGTGAGCAGCCGCATTCATGCATGTTACAACCGCACTGAGGCATCCTCATTCGGCAGATGTTAGAGTAGCTACTGCTCTCTTGACTTTAATTGCGCTCAATTTCGTGTTCTTGTGCTACACAACACTTATTCCAGTTTCATCACAACTGTACAGTCGATTAGGGTTTAGACATGTTTCCTTTAACCCTGGCTCCAGAAGAAAGAAAAACTTGTTCATGTTTTCTTTAGTGAATGATTCAACACGAGCTGCAGAAATACAATTTGGCAGTCTAACAAAGGAATTGCCGCGTAGCGTTTCAGAAAATCTTCAAACCACTTTTTCCTTGTTGACTCATTTTACACATTGAAACTGTTCGGTAAATTGTTAGCAACGACCAGACTGTATGACAAAATTCTTAGTTCAGCCATTGTGATTCCGAAAGTGCATTCTCCCCATCAGTAAACAACGTTGAACGAAATCAGCTTCGAGGTTAGGTGGAAAGGCTGCTTTTCTCAATTTAGTTGTTTCTTCTGTAGCTGACACTTGTCTTTGCTTCTCATATGTTTTTCAGTGAGATCTGTGGTACACTAAAATATTCCAGCCAACCACCTCTCCACCCATCTATGGCTTTGCAGCCCTTCTGGAACTTAGACGCTTTTTCAGTTTCTTAATGCATACACAGTCAGCAGGACTCCTTGGACAAGTGATCATCCGTCGCAAGGCTGCTACCTACACACAGAAGAACACAAACACAGAATAAACACAGATATCCATACCTTGAGTGGGATTCGAACCCATGATCCCAGCGTTCGAGCAGGCCAAGACGGTTCATGCCTTAGGCCGTGAGGCCACTGTGATTGGCAAGAAGTCTCTACCTACGTCTAGTACTCAAAGTCTCTAGGAGAAACCGTTAAAGGACAGAAGGAAGTTACTCGAACGCCAACCCCAGATATGCATACGGTACTAGCTTAAAATTTCTAAGATATTTGTGCCGCGGGGATATAACATTTCAAAATTATATCAATTCCCTTACTTTTGCTGAAGAATTCAGGTTTCCTGTAGCTACAGTTTCCACGTCAGTCAAAAAATTGATTAATGTTTTATGTCAAATCTCGTTTTACAAGGATGGTAACTCTGGATTAGGCCGAGCCGTAGCTCATGCGATTAGTCCCTGGCTTCCCACCGCGGCGGCCCGGGTTCGATCCCGGGTCTTGTCAAGTGGAATTTGTGATGGAGAAAGTGGTGCTGGGGTGGGTTTTCTCCTAGAACTTCGGTTTCCCCTGCCAATCTTCATTCCACCAAATTCTCCATCATCATAATCACCCGGGTCAGCTACAATAGGCCAATCAGTGGTCGCTGTGCTGAGTGGACCCAGTTGGACTCCACCCCCCCACTAAGCGAATTTTAATTTAACTCTGGATTAGAAGAATCTTGCAATGAAAATGATGACCTTTTGTAAACAGAGTAGAGATAGGTGGTAAATGGTTAGCTACAGGAATCATAAACTCAAACGGGAAGCATTGTAATTGTACAAGATACATAAAACCATGAAACAAATAATCCGTTGGCAAGATTTGACCCCCGACTACTCCTGGAGTTACTCATTTCACACAAGAAACTGTTTTTTTTTTTCAAACAAGAATATTAGTTCAGACATCTTCAAATGTCCACTAGTCCATTGATTGGCGGTAGTTGAAAGAAATGCTGGTTACAAAAGAGACACTTCGGAGGACGTAGGAGCCAAGGGAAGTGCTGTATTTCAGGTACTGCTCAAGCATTCGCGTGAAGGGACCTGCCTGTTAGAATGAAGGTTTTCGGTCTGCTATCCATCACTCTGACCCTTACTTCAAGGCATCACAACATGATAAGCTTCTAATGATGATTTATTCGAAGAGTTACAAGAAATAGAGAGTTACATTGATGGTTCACGTTCATATTTCACAATAAATATTTCACTGAGTGCAGAAAAGTGACGCAGTGGAAAACGGCAGGAGTGCTACGGACGGAAGTACACACATTCTGAAGGTTCTGCAACAGTTCCTCTGCAGCATCCGTCGCTGAAGCTTATATCAAAATTTTACATTTCCCCATAAGATAAAATTCATATGAGCGTCTAGTCAAGATACTTGTCCCTGTTTTTCAATTCATCGTCCGGTGTAGGCAGTATGAATTTAACTTCTGAAGCGTAACTGAAACTGATTGTGGCACCCC